CACACACACACACACACACACACACCCACACACCCACACACCCACACACCCACACACCCACACACCCACACCCACACCCCCACACCCACACCCACACCCACACCCACACCCACACCCACACCCACACCCACGCACGCATCCACCCACACGCACACACACACACGCACGCACGCACGCACGCACGCACGCGCGCGCGCGCGCACGCACGCACGCACGCCCGTGCACGCACGCACGCACGCACGCACGCACGCACGCACGCACGCACGCACACACGCACACACGCACACATGCACACACACCCACGCACCCACGCACACACCTCCGCACACACCCACGCACATACCCACCCACCCACCCACGCACGCACGCACGCACGCACGCACGCACGCACGCTCACGTTTTCTTGAGTGTTTGGTGAAACAGCACAAGGAGACCAAACCCATTTCTTCAACCCTTGATTGTTGACAGTCAATCGATCACTCCACAGGTTGCGATTGTTCCAAAGGCTTGAAAGTTCAGCGCCAAACCACGTGAGGTCAGTGGTGTTCGTCAGCATGTGTCATGTGACTATTTCTCATCAGAAGTTATAGAAGTCAGGTCGCCATCCGTTCTTTGTCACACATTCTCACGTGTGCGCAGTCTTGCCCTGCTCTAGTTTTCAAGCGTCCGTTGAACATGGTGGACAAGATCACAGCAGGGCAGCGTGTTCAGTATGACTGGTGTTCGAGCCTCTCAAGCCCTGCGCTCTACCATGGGCAGGTGCGGAAGTTCTGGGAGGAGGAGGAAGCAGCAGCGGAGAGGGGCGAGCCGGTGCGGCAGAAGAAGGAGGCCATTGGGGCTCCGGGGACCGTGAGTTTGCCACAATCTGGAAACCAAGGGAATGCGCAGCATTTGGTCCAGAATGGGTCATTTTTTTAACAGTATGTATCTTTGCGTACTGCTTCTACCGCGAGTTCATTCTTCTACCGCATCCTTGCTGTCTTTGGTGCCCCTATGATAGTTACCGTAGGAACGTGCAGGGTCAATGGGGGATGGGGGTAAGTGGGGGCTCGAGGTCTCAATAGTAGCAGAGGTGTACTTGCGAGACGGCAAGGAAATATTGTTTCTTTTCAAAGCTTCCGTGGGCTGAGATGTGTACGGCTAGGTGCAAGCACTGCAACTGTTGATGTTTTGCCTCATGGGCCGCTGAGCGATCTACGTTCGACCTGTGCCTTCTCAATCCACTTTTTTCCCCCATTTCTTTAGAAGGATTTGATAGGAGCATGGAACTCGAAACACGTAAACATGCTCAGCCTCCTTTGGGAGGGAACCCTGGTTGGGGCCAGGGCCTCTTTTTCGCACAGATCCAAGATCATGAACTGTGTTTTTCAATCGCACTCCGTCCCGCCCCACCGATATGGTGTTCCTTCGTTCGCGATTTGGGCCACCAACAATATGCATGGGAACTTGAATGCAGTCGTTGTTTCAGCGAAGAGCAACCGGTTTCGCAAAGAGGCACTATACAGACACGAGGAACCACCTTACAAGTGGTCCGTGGGCACGAATCCGCCACATCAATGATGTCCACCACAGGGTCCCTTATTAAACTATCACCGCTTTCACGTGGGTGTACGGGACAATTTGGGGCCGATGCAGGGGCCTGTGCCGACAAATCACCTTGCCAGGGCATCTCCCGGGAGAACTGGTTCGACGAAGAGCGAGACTCTTGGTGGGCGGGTTGAGTTGCCCCCAGTCTGTTCATTTCGTTGTACGAGGAGCTAGTGAGATTGGGTGACATGCTATGATTCCTCGAGTCAGATTATGTGAGTGAGACTGATGTTGTGCATTTGTGCAGCTTTGATTTGGTAGTCGTATTCTTGTGCACTAACTTTGCGCTTCACACAAATCTTACCCCATGATGCACTTGTTGGCCGAAGCCTTCCAGCTTAAATGAAGAGGTGCACGTGTGATGCCCTATCCACACGACCCATTCGAGCTGCGACAATGCTCTGGGCGGGGGTTGCCAAGCGTGGAGGCGTTTGTCGCTTGGGATGGTGTAGCAAGGAGGTGGCCAGCGGCAACACCCGCCAGAGACCTCATTTGTTTCTGAGGAGTTTTGGCCGTGGGGTTTCGCGTGGCTTGTACCTGCTCAGTTCGGCGAGTGGATGGACTGGTAAGCAAGAAGGAAGTGATGCCGGTTTGCTTCTCGCATTTCAGGCCCGCAGCCATTTGTGCGTTTGTTTCTCCCCACAATATGCTATTGGAAGCTCTCTATATGTGAAACCTTTGGATCTTGATATGCAATGCAATCCACCATATCCACCCAAAAAATGGCAGAGTCACAGACGGAGCTGACCAAGCTCATGCACTCTCAATGGCTTGGCGGTCGGACAAGCTCCTGTCGCTTCTTGCCATGGGCACCAGCTGATGATCGCCTCTGTGCGTTTGGAGGCGGGATTCGGAAAATAACAAGTGACAGGAATTTGGGAAGTGGGTCTCTTGAGGTTTATGCTCTGCTTTTCCGGCTGGTCCGTGGTTGCAATATGGGCACCTATACGAGGTTGATCGGGCCCAGGCCGGAATAGGAACATCAACCTTAAAGTTGTGAATCGTGTTCCTACCATGTCCATGCATGGTATCACAAAAGTGAATCCAGGGACGGATTCTCCACATCGAGTGAGAGCAGGGCACAATCTCTTCACATGTTGCTGAGGCTGGGCTGCACACAATCAGACTCGCCATGCCTGGAGAACCGCAGTGGTCTCGCGCTGAAGGACCAGCTGGGGAATTTAGGTGCAAAACTGAGTTTGAAGACGTAACTGGATGGTATGTGTGTGTGCTCCTGAGGCAGTTTGGCTCAATCACTTTTGCACCTTTGCACGGCCCCGCCTCTCCTGCCATGGGAAACGGCTGCGTGTCCAAGCCTGAGTCTGAGGACAAGGGCCTCATTGCACAGAAGAAGGCAGCCAGCCCATCCGTAGCCATCATTTACTACTCCACATATGGTCATGTCAAGACACTGGCTGAGCAGATCAAGAAAGGTCTCGAATCCACTGGTGTGAATGTAGATCTGTTTCAGATCCCCGAAACGCTTTCACCAGATGTCCTGAAGGCAATGTCTGCTCCAGACAAGCCAAAGGACGTGATGCAGCTGGATCTCGATTTCATCAAGAAACTGCCCGAGTACGATGGCCTGATGTTTGGCATGCCCACTCGTTTCGGCATGATGCCGGCGCAGATGAAGGCCTGCTTTGATGCAACTGGCCAGCTTTGGCAGTCAGGAGCGCTGGCGGGTAAGTTGGCTGCCACCTTTGTGAGCACTGGCACACAGCAGGGCGGGCAGGAGACCACGCACTTCACGGCCATCACTTCTTTGGTGCACCATGGTATGGCCTACGTTCCGCTGGGATACCAGGCCGGCGGCGATGGCCAGTTTGACGTGTCTGAGATCCATGGTGGATCACCCTGGGGCGCCTCAACCTTGGCAGGTGGCGACGGAAGCAGGCAGCCAAGCGAGCTGGAGCTGAAGATTGCAGGCAAGCACGGCGAAGTCTTTGGCGGCGCCGTGAAGAGATCTGTGGCGCCGGCTGCCAGTCGAGAGTTCAAGGTGGCAGTTGTATATTACAGCATGTACGGGCACATCAAGAAGCTCGCAGATGAAATGGCTGCTTCTATGAAGGAAGACGGGGTGACAGTCGACCTGTTCCAGGCACCCGAGCTTCTGTCAGAGGAGGTGCTGAAGAAGATGGGGGCCCCCGCCAAGCCTGCGGATGCTGTTATGGACCACGCGAATGTCGGGAAGTTGGCAGACTACGACGGCCTGGTGTTTGGCGTCCCCACTCGCTTTGGCTCTGCAGCAGCGCAAATGAAGGCCATGTTCGACAGCACGGGCTCCTTGTGGCAATCCGGTGCTTTGGCAGGGAAGCTTTGCGCCACCTTCACCAGCACTGGCACCCCCAACGGTGGACAGGAGAGCACGCACATGACAACCCTCACCAACATGGTGCACCACGGCATGATCTACGTTCCGTTGGGATATCAAGCAGGCGCTGATGCATTCGACATGACCGAGCTGCATGGCGGTTCGCCCTGGGGTGCGAGCACGTTCGCTGGTCCCGATGGCAGCCGCCAGCCCAGTGCCGTCGAATTGAGGATTGCCAAGCAGCAGGGAAAGGTCTTCGCGGCGAAGGTGAAGCAGATGAGCAAATAAGGCTCAAAGTAGCCGCAATCTGATTATATTTCGGCGAACTCAGATAGAGATAGCAGTATTTCACGGCTGTTATTAGGTCAATTCGCCGATGGTTCTATTCAAATGCCGGGCAATTCGATTGCTTGCAAGTTGCACGTTGAGAGCTTTGGCCTTTGCTTCCGTTTGAAAGGAGGGAGCTGCGGCTGTACGCGCTGCATGAAGCCTGGACAAACGATGGCTTCTTGCAGCTGGCCCGGATCGGATCGATACCTCCTCCTCCTCTCAGAGCGCACAATTTATTCTTGGTGTGCGCGCGTGCAGCTGCGACCACGCAAGCAAGGGACTGTCGGAGCTGTCGGCAAACCCAGAAAGAGATAGAATACGGTCATTGCCCTTGCTGTAACTCGCCGACAGTGCCTTTCAAATTCTGGGCATTCAATTGCTTGCCCGTTGCATTGTCTTCTTCCCTTGAAAAGGAATGCACTGCGGCCGTTCGTGCGGCATTAAGCCTGGACAAACGATGGCTTCTTGCAGCTGGCCGGATCCATACCTGGTCTCGCGGAACGCGCAAACATTCTTGGCGTGCGCGCGTGCCGCTGCGATCCCACTAAATCCTCCAGCTGGGGCTTGGCTGCATGTGTCTGAATGACTTAAGTTTTCAAGGCCTCAGTTTGGACATGTTCGGAAAGCTGAAAGGCTGCTTGCTATTTCCGACCATATTCTCGAGCCCCTGTCGTTTGGCCCGTGTCTATCTGCTTGCCTCTGTCGGAGGTCAGGGTGGTAGGCAATGGCAAGTCTCTGGCTGCGAGGACGATAGCTGCAAGGATCCCAAGTTGGGCCAGCTGGTGAGGCCGTTCAGGCTGGTTGGAGTGCCCATGGATGCTTGGCATGAGCAACTTGGGCGGGCCGGCAGGGGGACGGTAGGGGACTGACAACTTTGCCAAAACTGCAACATGAATGCTGCAGACCACAAGGCCGCCTTACATGTCAGATGGTTTCCCAGTTGCTTGGTGTGTGTCTCAGGCTGATAAAGCTGGTTGTTGTGTTGTTGCGCGTCGTTGTTTGTTTTTGTGTCTTTGTGCGTCTTTGAGCAATTGAGCGTCTTTGAGTTTTTTGTGTTTGTATTTGTGCTTGCAGCTGGCAGGGCTGCGATCCCACTAAATCCCAGGGCGGGGCGCGGGTGCAGGTGTCTGAATGACTCAAGTTTTCAAGGCCTCAGTTTGGATTTTGCAAGCTGAAAGGCTGCTTGCTGTTGCCGACCATATGTTGAAGACGTGCTCTCGTGTCCTGTCGTTGGGTCTTTGGCTGCGAGGACGATAGCTGCAAGGATCCCAAGTTGGGCCAGCTGGTGAGGCCGTTCAGGCTGGTTGGAGTGCCCACGGATGCTTGGCATGAGCAACTTGGGCGGGCCGGCAGGGGGACGGTAGGGGACTGACAACTTTGCCAAAACTGCAACATGAATGCTGCAGACCACAAGGCCGCCTTACATGTCGGATGGTTTCCCAGTTGCTTGGTGTGTGTCTCAGGCTGGTAAAGCTGGTTGTTGTGTTTATTGCGCGTTGTTGTTTGTTTTTGTGTCTTTGTGCGTCTTTGAGCAATTGGGCGTCTTTGATTTTTTTTGTGTTTGTATTTGTGCTTGCAGCTGGCAGGGCTGCGATCCCACTAAGTCCCAGGGCGGGGCGCGGGTGCAGGTGTCTGAATGACTCAAGTTTTCAAGGCCTCAGTTTGGATTTTGCAAGCTGAAAGGCTGCTTGCTGTTGCCGACCATATGTTGAAGACGTGCTCTCGTGTCCTGTCGTTGGGTCTTTGGCTGCGAGGACGATAGCTGCAAGGATCCCAAGTTGGGCCAGCTGGTGTGCCCACGGATGCTTGGCATGAACAACTTGGGCCGGCAGGCCGGGGCGGGTGGAACGATGCATGTTGTGCATGGAGTCGCAGGCCTCTGCTTTTGAGGCCATTTTTCTCGCATGCCTTGAACCTGATTCCACTGAGAAGCGAGCATGTATGCCTGACAAGTCAAGTCAAAGGCCTCGAAAAGGAGACGCAGAGGCCTTGATCAATAGAAGCTGCCATTGTAGACAAGTAGGGACCGCACTCAGAAGAGAGCCAGAAGTCTCCACACTCAAACTGATCGAAACAAAGGCTTGACAGTTGCCAAGTAATTGTATAGTGATCACTTTTCTCAGAAACATGCTTCCTTCTTGATGCTGTCTGAGGCTTTTAGTCCGAGCCGTCCATGGCAATGAGAATATCCTATCCGATTACATGGACGATCCCATGGATAGCCCGAGGGAAGCTTGGGCTTGACCGGACGGATGTTTCCAAAAACATGGGCCTCATTTCGTGAAAAGACAACTTAAGGATTATGCCCTCCAGTTGCTGCTGGTTTCCGTTTCACCAGAGCCGCCAAACTCGAGCGATCCAAATGGATCGCCTGATGCTTGCGACCTCAGACCAGCACAATCGCCTGAGTCCCTAAGACTGTTGGGACATGGGCCATGGGTGTGCGAAACCCCCTCAAATGGGTGGCTTGCTTTTGGTTCCCGTTTAAACTATCCAAAGTTTCCCTCAAAAAGGACACCCAAATAGCCAATTGTCCGCACCTGGAAAGAGGGACCTCGACTTCTGGGAGAAGGCCCCGTCAATGTCCTGACCATGGTCACTAGGAAATGCCCAGGGCATACAAGCAACCAGTGTAAGCAGGAAAGTAGGACGGGACATTTTTCACCTTGTTCTCCCGCATCAAGAAGCTAAACCCCGATCTTCACATCATCTCTGCACTTGTTCTTCTCGGAAGTGTTTGAGTTGCCAGATCCAAGGGGCACTGGATGCACAACAGCCACATAGATTTCTATCAGAGTTATCAATGAAAGGAGATGCAGGATGTAGCGGCTACCTCACTGCAAACAAACCATGCATTCGTGAACCAGTCTCGAGGCTCTGTGCACTGAGCCTTTCATGGTAGCTGCCGCTCCATCTGAGGCTCCCTCCCTGCGGTCACAACCAAAGAGTCACTGACTGCAAAGAGTCACTGAAGCTTCCTGGATTCCTGGCACCTTTCGTTTGTAAATTCCCATGCAACCCCTGTCAGGATGTGTTATATTCGTGCAGGCACTGTCACGATGCGAGCCCCTACCTGAATTCGGCGTTACTCATCCGAGTTGCTGTAGAAGCAGCTGGTGAGATTAGTTATCGACAAGCTATGTTTCCTTGAGTCAGAGTATGTTGTGACTGATGCTGCAACTTGCCTCTGGTCGATTTCAGGCTCGCAGCCGGGTTCCATGACGCTGCGGATCATGGACATGTGTTTTTTGTGTGTTTTTTCCTCACGGAATGCGACTATGGACGCTCTTAATTGACCGGTGAACCTTTAGGTGCACACAATGCACGTCCTGCATCATACATCTTCAACACGTATTCAGACAAGGTGTATTTGGCTGCTGTACTTCATGTACCGTGCTTACTGTGGTATTCGTGCTTGGCCCATTCCAAAAATCCTGCTTCAATCCCACTCACGGGAAACATCCAAAAGTCTGGCAGGAGCGTAAGTGAAATCGACCAAGCTCATGAAGTTTCAATGGCTTGGCGGTCGGATAAGCTTTGGTCGCTTCTTTTGAGTGGTTACCCCTTGGTGTGGTCTTGCCATGCGCACGAGCTGATGACCGTGGACACTGCGAGTTTGGAGGCGGGAGTCGTGTGCCCAGGGATTGTTTTCAACGAGATGAATCTCTTACCAGTGTGCGCGCCACTTTCTCTTGTGGCTCGTGACAAAAGGGGTTGAACCCGACAGCGAGGCGCCAGATCCACGTTGCACAGCCCAAAAACGAGGTATCCCTTTGTGACAGCAGGGCGAGGTTCTAATGGTGCTGGGTCCTTGACGATTTCCCACTTAGACCCGGTTCTTTGCTTTGGCAATCGTGCTTAGCCCTCTTGGTCTTAGCAAAGACAATCTCTGCTTGTTCAAGCTACATGACCTGTCCAGGCGTCGATCCCGATGGCGGGCAAGGACTGCGTGAAGCTGGAGAACTTGTCTTCGTGCTGCCCTGAGAAAAGATCCGAAAAAAGGACGTGATGCATGTGACTCACTTTTTGGGCAGTGAGTTGGAGCCTTAAGGTCATCGGTTTTTGCTAAATTTATGCAGTCGCCGTCTGGGAGGATAGCTGGTAGAGTTTGTTTGGGGTACTCATGATTCCCACACCCCTTCCCCGGCAGAGCAAACGTAGGACTAACTGGAAGCCAAATCTCTGAGCCCAATCTTGAACCTCAAACATGGTGAAGTTCCCCACCCCCAAAGCAAGACCTCTAAGAAGCCCCCCGCCCTTCCTATCCCTGAGCAAAGAAAAACCCAAAATGAGATCCTGACCAGACTTTGACCAGGACCAAACTGATCCAAGAAGCTTTGGCCATTTCTGGGTCAATTCCGCGCACAATGGACACGTCAGGGGTTTCTTCGACTTCGACGAGCTCGACAAGGCTGGAGATCGGCAGGGGTTGAGGGTGCGTTCAGGGCCATGCAAATGATTTGAGGCGCACACGTGACACTCATTGATCTCGGAGCTACATTTATCACTGGGACCATTTCGACATTGATTTGTTCGAGGAGTTTTGAGCAATGCAGGTCGGTAAAGATCTGAGGCAGAGGGCGGAAAGAACTGAGATCCTTTGCCAGAGCCATTCCTGCTAACTGTGTTGAGACCAAGGCTGTTTCGTCAAACTGCCATTGGGGCACAAAAAGGCAGGACAGCAGCAGAAGGTTTGTTCTCAAACGATGATCCACGGATGGGGGGCTTGAGAGAACGAGGATGGATAATTTCGGAGATAAAAGCTTGTTGAGTGTTTTGTATACACCCTGCTCAAGTCAACGTGAAGGGAATTGAACGATGCCTGGGTTGCCTTGCTGGGCAGCATGCCACGCACATGAAACTACATCAGTAAGGAGACAGACTCATTTGCTTCCAGGCCGAGAACGAGCTGCCCAGTGAGCCCACCACCAACGAAGGCGCAAGAGGGAAGCAGAACAACAGAGACCCATATGATGAACGTGCCGTCCTACGCAAGAGCAGGATTTCTTCCCTCGAGCGTACCAAGTCCATCAGAACCTGCCGGGGGGGGGGAGCAAGAAATTGCCAGTTCTGTAGCATGGATGAAGCTTGCTGGATTAGCAGTGCACGCACTGAGCGCTCAATACAAGTAGTTCAAGACTCTGCCGGTGTGCCCGACACCACTACGCGTTGGGAGTTTGGAGATGGTTGACGGTTCTCCTGAATGTTCCAGCTAGGCAGGTTGGGCCTCAGTTTGTTTTGCCTTTACCCGCGGAGTGGAGAGAGCTGAGGGATACCCGTTTCCCCGGCCAGGCCACGAGGAGGACGTGCGGGGTGCAGGGCCACGTTAGATTTTGGGGCACCGACATGAAATTGAGGGAGCTCACCAAGCAGTGGGAACTTGGGGAATGGATGCAAGCCGCTTGAAGGGAGTGGTTGACAACCCTTGAGAAGGGTGGGATCGCTTTGCCGAGATCGCTTTTCGTGAAACATTTCACGAGATGAGAAGCACAGCGACCATTGACTGATTCAGAGACTTGCCGCGATTCTGAAACTTCGATTCAGAAACTTGCCCCGCTTCGGAACTCCACTTCAGAACTTGATCTCCGGATCAGACACTTGGGCCTCCGATTCAGAAAAAGAGATTCAGAAAGTTGGGGGCCCGACACAAAAACTGCGGCCCGGAATCAGAGACTTAGTTACTCCGAGTCAAACACTTTCTAGAAACCTGGGTGTTACCCGCCCAAGAAGAACACCCACTGAAGTGCACCCGCGCAGCGCTTCCTATTTACCTGCCGCATCTCTGCCTGCCTAATGACGGGAACACCGCTCAAGCGCGCTCGAGCAGCACTGCATATCTGCCTGCCAAATGACAAGAACACCGGCCTGAGTGCGCTCGCGCTGCACCGCGTAACACCAGCTCAAACGCGCCGTGTCGTCGAGGGAAGCCAAGCGGCCAGCCTGTGCCAGCAAAACTGATGATGCGCCAGCCTTGTGCTGCGCATGTTTTTTTTTTTTTTTTTTTCTCCCAGGGCAGCCAACGCTTCTTTTATGCAGGGTGTCACCCATCAGTGCCCGCGCCCGCAGAACGTCGTGGTCCGATGTCCGGGATCAACATATACCCAGGATGAGTCTCAGAATGCAGGCTTCCAAGTCCACACCACAAAGTGTCCGAAGCCGTCCAGCAAATTTCTGAATCCATTTCACCGAGAAACTAGATCCAATGCTTCCAATCATTGCCTACAAGTTGCCGTTATGTTGCTGAATCAGCGCCCCAAGCTTCTGCGTCCAAGTTTTTGGATGCCCTCGAATTGCCAATCGGAGCGCCGAGGTCCCAAATCAAGTCCGCCAAGTTGCCAAGTCCCAGTTTCCGACTGCGTGCTCCAAGAATCCGACTTTGTGCGTTCAATTTCCTGATTTCTGAGCCAGTGCTCTTCAAGTTTCCGATCTAAGTTTCCGAATCCGCTCTCCAAGTGTCCGAATCCGTGCGGTCAGTTTCCGAATCCAAATTTCCGAATCAGTGTTCCAAGTTTCCAAGTTTCCGATTCAGTGCGTGACCGAAGCTCATCCAGTTGCTCTTGAGATTGCCCGTACTTTGTCTGTGGCTCGAGATCCTTCCTGTCCAGGACGGGCTGGATTCTTTGTCGGAGCTCTGGCCAGGTGTGGCGCGGATTTGCTGTGTTTGTCTCTTGGGCCGAGCTGTGTTTTTGCGGCAGGCGAGGCTGCAAGGAAGTCATTTTCCAAATCATTCCTCAGATCAACGGACGGTCCCCCCGGTTTCGGCTAGTGCGGCCTTATTAAACTCATGCTGCCCCCGCAAACGTCATGACCCGGATGGCCCCGAAAGGCTGGGACTTCACGCTAGCCTCCGGTGATTTCAGGGCCTTGCTCAAATGCACTTGACCTGCCTACCAACAGGTGTTAGTGTCAGGGTGTCATGCTTTCTTAGCTTTCTCCCAGAGAATGGCAAAGGTCGCGCATCACATGACACCATGCAGATGAAGCCCTTGATCTGTATCACCTTTGCCAGGCGATATGCCTGCAGACCAAGAGTTGGAGGACGATGAAGACGACCTGCCGGACCTGGTCCCTGGCGACTGCCTGGCTCTTGGATCATGTGCCTCCACGGTTGATCCCCCACATAGAGCGAGTTAAGGAAGCTAATACTATATTGTGAAATACGCAGGGGGAAGCCTAGCTGCTAGAGTGGTTTAAAGGACACAAGTGATGAAGGCTTCTTTCCTGTGGATGACTTTTCAGATCGGAAAATCATGATCGCTGATTGGGACAAATGTTGTTTGGAAGGGTCAACATGTTCGGAATCATAGCGGAAATAAGAATGATTGAAGTGTTGCAATCTCGAAAGGTGCCACGCGATTTGATCAGCTGTCATTGGGGTTTAATTGATGCCAAGCAGCATGCACAGAGGCTCTGCAAGAAGAGTCGGCGAACGGCGGGAACCAACATTGCACCTAGTTTCCAGGCAGATGCCTCAATCAACCTCCACTTATTAGGTGACTTGGATTTTTCCTTCTTGCTGAAATTGGTTGGGTCCAGATTTGGGTTTGTCAAGAGACACACAAGTTCACAGCCATATGGGTGTGACTTCTTTGGAGGGTACCCCTTGTTTTTTGGTGGTTTTAAAGGAACACCAAGCGGAAAACCAAAGACACACCACATGGATTTTAATTGGGGACCTTGGGACATTAGGTCCCCCAGCATTGAGAGGGTTCCAACTTGAGACCGCAGGCCCTGTGGACTCCGCGCCAGCGTGGGAGGCAGGAGCGTCATTTCAAAACGGCTTGAACTTTATTGCTTTGTATTTGATCGGTGTGGGTAAGAAACGAGTTACGTGCCACATGCACCATCCACACGGTGTGTTGGGATAGATTATATGAGTCCGTGAGTACGGGGTTGAGAGGACCATTCAACAGGAATCCTGAAGTTGATGGATACATCCTGCCGCAAGGTGCCGTGACTTTGTATCAGCCAGGGTCGAGTGCCAATTTGATCAACAGCGAAGCGGCACCCCATATGGCCGCTCTGTACAGGTCCGCGGATCAGAAGTATTCTCGCCTCAACTCAAGACCGGCAAATACGGCCAGCCACGCGGGTTTGATTGAACAAACATATACACACACACACATGCATATATATATATGTATACATTTATGTTAATCTATATATATATATAATATTGAGCGCCAGGAAAGCAGTCTCAGACGTCATTGTTTGCCTGAGAGTTGATGTGTCAAAGGGAATTTGAATTCGAAGAGGCACCGACCGGATCGGAGGTCTGCGTGCTGCGTCTCCTGGTGCGGAAGCTGCCGAGTTTGGAGGCGCCGGTGCAGGGCATCTGCCACGAGCACGAGCTCCTCTTCGAAGAGCCCCGTGGCCTCGAGATCGCTTCGCTCTCGAGGGGTCCGTCGCTTCCCCTTTTTGGAAGCTCCAGAACTAAAGGGGCGGGGTTCAAGGAGCACCACCAGTGAAGTGCAACTTTTCAAGGGAAATCCGGTGGCCGCTGTCTCCTGCTCTCCTTTGGGCAAAGTGGGATTGGGTGGGTGGGTCCTTCGAGAAGTTTCCGGAAGGAGAACTGATTGGACCCGAGTTTGTTTTCACCCGGTCAGCAGATGGAAAGTCGAACAAGATCTTCAAAAGCAGTTATTCCGGGAGCAGCTCTTCGCATGTTGCTGAGGCCGGGCTGCGCAGAAGCAGATTGGCTATGCCTGGAGAACCGCAGTGGTTTTGTGCTGAAGGACCAGTTTGTATTCTTTGCCTACATCCAGAAATGCCGACCCGGGGCGCCCATTTCTCGGGCCTCAACACCAACTGTTGACGACATGTTGCTTGGCATTTTGCAGTTGACGTGGGGCATGTTCAGAGAATGATTCGTAATGAACGTTTTGATAACTTGACTTAAGCAGTTTGGCTCAATCACTTTTGCACCTTTGCACGGCCCCCCCTCTCCTGCCATGGGAAACGGCTGCGTGTCCAAGCCTGAGTCCGAGGACAAGGGCCTCATTGCACAGAAGAAGGCAGCCAGCCCATCCGTAGCCATCATTTACTACTCCACATATGGTCATGTCAAGACACTGGCTGAGCAGATCAAGAAAGGTCTCGAATCCACTGGTGTGAATGTAGATCTGTTTCAGATCCCCGAAACGCTTTCACCAGATGTCCTGAAGGCAATGTCTGCTCCAGACAAGCCAAAGGACGTGATGCAGCTGGATCTCGATTTCATCAAGAAACTGCCCGAGTACGATGGCCTGATGTTTGGCATGCCCACTCGTTTCGGCATGATGCCGGCGCAGATGAAGGCCTGCTTTGATGCAACTGGCCAGCTTTGGCAGTCAGGAGCGCTGGCGGGTAAGTTGGCTGCCACCTTTGTGAGCACTGGCACACAGCAGGGCGGGCAGGAGACCACGCACTTCACGGCCATCACTTCTTTGGTGCACCATGGTATGGCCTACGTTCCGCTGGGATACCAGGCCGGCGGCGATGGCCAGTTTGACGTGTCTGAGATCCATGGTGGATCACCCTGGGGCGCCTCAACCTTGGCAGGTGGCGACGGAAGCAGGCAGCCAAGCGAGCTGGAGCTGAAGATTGCAGGCAAGCACGGCGAAGTCTTTGGCGGCGCCGTGAAGAGATCTGTGGCGCCGGCTGCCAGTCGAGAGTTCAAGGTGGCAGTTGTATATTACAGCATGTACGGGCACATCAAGAAGCTCGCAGATGAAATGGCTGCTTCTATGAAGGAAGACGGGGTGACAGTCGACCTGTTCCAGGCACCCGAGCTTCTGTCAGAGGAGGTGCTGAAGAAGATGGGGGCCCCCGCCAAGCCTGCGGATGCTGTTATGGACCACGCGAATGTTGGGAAGTTGGCAGACTACGACGGCCTGGTGTTTGGCGTCCCCACTCGCTTTGGCTCTGCAGCAGCGCAAATGAAGGCCATGTTCGACAGCACGGGCTCCTTGTGGCAATCCGGTGCTTTGGCAGGGAAGCTTTGCGCCACCTTCACCAGCACTGGCACCCCCAACGGTGGACAGGAGAGCACGCACATGACAACCCTCACCAACATGGTGCACCACGGCATGATCTACGTTCCGTTGGGATATCAAGCAGGCGCTGATGCATTCGACATGACCGAGCTGCATGGCGGTTCGCCCTGGGGTGCGAGCACGTTCGCAGGTCCCGACGGCAGCCGCCAGCCCAGTGCCGTCGAATTGAGGATTGCCAAGCAGCAGGGAAAGGTCTTCGCGGCGAAGGTGAAGCAGATGAGCAAATAA